TACACAAGTGTGTGTTTTTATCCTATGTTATTATGTCTGTGAGTAGACATTACCATTACTGATTACCATTATTATAATAATTATTATAATTGCTATTTTTAATAGAATATTCAAAAGTGTCGCGTACCGTCCTATTAAGGTCTATTTCCAGTTTATTATTCATCTCTACGTTGTGTGAAACATTCTCAGTACTTCTACAAATAATTATATTATTAACAATTTGTATTTTAAAATATACGCAAGAGAAGGGTACAGTGGATGAATAGTTATTACATTAAATATATATTTATTGAAATCACTAGTACGTTCTTAGTGTTTTCAGAGATGTATAATTGAAGGTATTTCTACAGGTGAGGTGGAGAGGTTGTATTGAGCCTCCACAGCCTCTGATGTTAATAGTCACACTATATCCTGTATCTCATTAGGTTTCTCTCTCCCTCTCTTTCTCCCTCTCTCTCTCTCTCTCTCTCTCTCTCTCTCTCTCTCTCTCTCTCTCTCTCTCTCTCTCTCTCTCTCTAAGGGTAGGGTTTATAGTGCTGATGTTCCTGATGAAACCATAAGCTCAGCGCTGATATTCTACGTCAGTTCCTCTGAAGCCTTACCCAAGAAATTTATTTAATGAGCTAATTCTTTGTATCCTTAACATGCTAACATGTAAAGAACAGGATGATCTTGGAGCAAACTGTGTGGCAGGGCCTTCAGATGGTCGGTTGTCTTGATTTCCCGCTTATCTATATATATATATATATATATATATATATATATATATATATATATATATATATATATATATATATATATATATAATCAGAACTCTTGGCCCTTGAAGGATTCGAACCCAGTCAGCCAGAGCCTCCAGGCCCCTTGGCGTCTCCAGTACTATAACCACTCTGCCAACACACTGTACAAAAGTACTGGAAAGTTGCCTGACTTTTAACTCAACACTTGTGGGTCAAGCTTGTTCATTCAAGCTTGACCCACAAATGATACTCATGCAGCCCCAGCATGATGAAGTGGTTTGGTGAAGCATCTGGGCCCAAAATTGTCACGAGTGTTGTCGAGTATTGCGAGTTAAGAGTCAGACGATTTTCAGATACTTTTGTACAGTCTGTTGGCAGAGTGGTTATAGTACAGGACACGCCAAGGGGCATGGAGGCCCTGGCTGACTGGGTTCAAATCTTTCAGGGGGTCAAAAGTTTTCTGATGCATGTAGGCTTGGGGACCGTTCAAGCTTGACGTATATTATATATTAAATATCCAATGAGTAATATATGTTCAGATTCTTTCATTTCCAAATTGCTGTTTTATATTACTAAACATTCAATTATTAAATTTAGATCAGAGGGATTATAAATTAAATGTCATGAACACGATTTACCACGACCAAAGGTATTTTAACTAGAATTTGGGCATTACACAGCTGTGCAAAAAATGTTTAGCCATATTTAATTATATTTACACAGCTCTCGATCCCCCTTTAAAAGCAGGATACTGGTCTAAGCTTACATGTGTTTACACAACAGGAGACTGGTCTATGCTTACATGTGTTTACACAACAGGAGACTGGTCTATGCTTACATGTGTTTACACAACAGGAGACTGGTCTAAGCTTACATGTGTTTACACAACAGGAGACTGGTCTATGCTTACATGTGTTTACACAACAGGAGACTGGTCTATGCTTACATGTGTTTACACAACAGGAGACTGGTCTATGCTTACATGTGTTTACACAAGGGTTATTAAACGTTGCCCAATATCTAAATATTTTCTTTGCATTAGATACCCAGAAGAGGGTTACTGGTAATATTATTGTAAGATTTTATATGTAGGTTTTGGAAAATCTCATTCCCTCTCTCTCTCTCTCTCTCTCTCTCTCTCTCTCTCTCTCTCTCTCTCTCTCTCTCTCTCTCTCTCTCTCTCTCTCTCTCTCTCTCTCTCTCTCTCTCTCCCTCTCTCTCTCAAATATTATTAACAGCTGCAACAGAAGAAAGTCTTAGAGGAAAAAATATATCATCCCATATTTATTAAAGTTTTTTAAGGGTATTATGATGGGATTGTATATAATATAGCAGGATCATTGTATAACGTTTTAAGATATAGTAAGGTGGAGAATCAGATTCGAGCCTGAATGCTAATAGAGATTCGTCATGGGGGTCGTTTTGGCATTATTTCAAGTGGTATTCATTTGAATGATGCCAACCCCACCAGCCCAAGTGGAGCACGTCCCCAACATTAATTACAGTGAAACGTTTGAGAGGCTAACCTGCAAAGTCTGTCCTACAACCTTGAACAACCATTACATTCTAAAAATATTGATATATATATTTTTATATACATCCATATATACTGGGAGGGGTACCCGGCAGTGCTCGGGAGCTCTCTCCTCCCATTTCCCCCACTCACAATATTCCTTCCTCTTCCATCTCTCATACTTTTAGTTCCTACTCTTCCCTATCATTCACCACCTTCCCAACAATTCACACGTTCACAATCATTCACTAACTTCCCTACCTTTAACCACCTCAACTCTTCACCACTAATGAACATATGACATTGAAACAATCTGTCATATGTTCATTATTTCCCTGGGCATTGATATAATGTTAAGCAATCAATTTTTTCCTCCATATCAAAGAGCTTTTCGAATTGCTAGTCCTAAGTTCTTAGATAACGGAGTTTGGAAGTATTCATTCAAGTGATTTCAAACCTTGCTATTCAGTAAGTTTCTTGGAAGCTTATTGTAACAATGTTCAATGTATGATAATAGAATTAACAATGAGAAAATTCGCTGATAACCACCCACACCACCAGAGAACCACCCCCCACACTACCAGAGAACCACCCCCACACCACCTGAGAACCACCCCCACACCACCAGAGAACCACCCCCACACTACCAGAGAACCACCACCCACACCACCTGAGAACCACCCCCACACCACCAGAGAACCACCCCCCACACTACCAGAGAACCACCCCCACACCACCAGAGAACCACCACCCACACCACCAGAGAACCACCCCCCACACCACCAGAGAACCACCACCCACACTACCAGAGAACCACCACCCACACCACCTGAGAACCCCCCCCACACCACCAGAGAACCACCCCCCACACTACCAGAGAACCACCCCCACACCACCTGAGAACCACCCCCACACCACCAGAGAACCATCCCCCACACTACCAGAGAACCACCACCCACACCACCTGAGAACCACCCCCACACCACCAGAGAACCACCCCCCACACTACCAGAGAACCACCCCCACACCACCAGAGAACCACCCCCCACACTACCAGAGAACCACCACCCACACCACCTGAGAACCACCCCCACACCACCAGAGAACCACCCCCCACACCACCAGAGAACCACCCCCCACACTACCAGAGAACCACCCCCACACCACCAGAGAACCACCACCCACACCACCAGAGAACCACCCCCCACACCACCAGAGAACCACCCCCCACACTACCAGAGAACCACCCCCCACACCACCAGAGAACCACCCCCCACACCACCAGAGAACCACCACCCCCCACACCACCAGAGAACCACCACCCCCCACACTACCAGAGAACCACCACCCACACCACCAGAGAACCACCACCCCCCACACCACCAGAGAACCACCCCCCACACTACCAGAGAACCACCCCCCACACCACCAGAGAACCACCCCCCACACCACCAGAGAACCACCACCCCCCACACCACCAGAGAACCACCACCCCCCACACTACCAGAGAACCACCACCCACACCACCAGAGAACCACCACCCCCCACACCACCAGAGAACCACCCCCCACACTACCAGAGAACCACCACCCACACTACCAGAGAACCACCCCCCACACCACCTGAGAACCACCCCCACACCACCAGAGAACCACCACTCCCCACACCACCAGAGAACCACCCCCCACACCACCAGAGAACCACCCCCACACCACCAGAGAACCACCACCCACACCACCAGAGAACCACCCCCACACCACCAGAGAACCACCACCCACACCACCAGAGAACCACCCCCACACCACCAGAGAACCACCCCCACACTACCAGAGAACCACCACCCACACCACCTGAGAACCACCCCCACACCACCAGAGAACCACCCCCCACACTACCAGAGAACCACCCCCCACACCACCAGAGAACCACCACCCACACCACCAGAGAACCACCCCCACACCACCAGAGAACCACCCCCCACACTACCAGAGAACCACCACCCACACCACCAGAGAACCACCACCCACACCACCTACCACCCACATCTTTCAACCAGCCAGCCACTCACAACTTGAGAGTTCGGCTCGCCCAGCCGGAATCTTGGCCATGTATAACTCATCAAAGGTGGGGAATGTGAGGCCCAGGTGCTGAATATAATCCCAGGGAAGTGCCACTTGCAACAATACAGGATCAGCACACACGCAGACACATAATCCAATTATTCATCGAGGCAGCGATGTCTATTGCCCACTACGCCAGTGTGCCTTGGCGTATCGACACTCCGCGAAGGCTTTATTTCGTGCACGGTCGGCGTTCGATTCCCGATGGTTCAAGATGTTTGGCATAGTTTTTCTCCCTCCCCCTCACTTCTTCCCCTGTCCACATGTCCCAGCCCCTTGTTCTAAAACCACTTTCCAAGGCTATACAGTCATTCTGGACCAGCGCTCCCTCCTGTTGCTTAACTTTGTCTTGTTCCTTAATCACTCGGCCACCAATCTTATCTGGAGAGAGATCCCACAAGTAATTGCTTTTAGAGACAGTAATTACCAGAAGCGAGCCCCCAGCTGGGGAGGCTCTATATATGGTACTTAGGAGACAATGAAAAAGATGCAGCTTGCCTGTATATTTATTTTATAGTAGAGTTGAAGCACAAAATTGGAAGAAATTATAGGTGGATGTGAGGCACAATCCACGGGCTTTTCACAGATTGGTAAATAGGGTGATGACCAATCCTGCTGACACCATACTTCATCCGTCATACCAAGATCCTCCAGTTGCGACGCAAACTTATTTCCTAAATTGGTCTGGTAACTGTGATGGTATGGTTCGAGCGCCCGGTACACATCACCGAGCGCCTGGTACACATCACCGAGCGCCTGGTACACATCACCGAGCGCCTGGTACACATCACCGAGCGCCTGGTACACATCACCGAGCGCCTGGTACACATCACCGAGCGCCTGGTACACATCACCGAGCGCCTGGTACACATCACTGAGCGCCCGGTACACATCACCGAGCGCCCGGTACACATCACTGAGCGCCCGGTACACATCACCGAGCGCCCGGTACACATCACCGAGCGCCTGGTACACATCACCGAGCGCCTGGTACACATCACCGAGCGCCTGGTACACATCACCGAGCGCCTGGTACACATCACCGAGCGCCCGGTACACATCACCGAGCGCCCAGTACACATCACCGAGCGCCCGGTACACATCACCGAGCGCCTGGTACACATCACCGAGCGCCTGGTACACATCACCGAGCGCCCAGTACACATCACCGAGCGCCCGGTACACATCACTGAGCGCCCGGTACACATCACTGAGCGCCTGGTACACATCACCGAGCGCCTGGTACACATCACCGAGCGCCTGGTACACATCACCGAGCGCCTGGTACACATCACCGAGCGCCTGGTACACATCACTGAGCGCCCGGTACACATCACCGAGCGCCCAGTACACAGCACACTCATCACTTAATTTTATTTATCACCAAATATAACTTTTAATCCCGTTCACGCAATGCAAAATATTGATTCTAAAAACGGCCACCAGAGGACTACAACCCACTCATTTCCAGCATAAACGTATAATTGTCTAACATCCAGTATTAAGCCTCAGTGCTCACAACAGTGTAGAGGCAAGCAGACGGCAAGTCAACACAGCGTTGGCTGGGAATTAAGACTGTCAACTATGCCAAAAAATTGTCCCCGGGAGCGACCCTATCCCAAGTTTATTGTGAAGATAAAATACATCTGAAAAGGATAGAGTAGCCGAAGTTACGTCTAGCTTCCTTACGGTCCCAATCCGCCTTCTACAGGTCTGGAATGCCCTCAGAACCGGCAACAAACTCCCCAAAATATAAGTCTCAAGGTCCACTCCGACCCCTAATTGACCCCTATACTGTACTGCCATTATTTAAAAGTCTACAAATTTCATTATTTGTTAAAACATTTAGCTTAAGACTATACACCGATCAGCCCATGTCCGTCCCATACCACAAACTATTCTCCCTGTATATTTAGGTGAGGTTAGTCCCAGGTATCTGGCCTCCGTCTTTGGACAGAGGGAGGAAGAAAAGGATAGAGACGAAGAGAAGCGGAAAGAGACGGGGAGAGAAGAACGGAAAGAGACGGGGAGAGAAAGACGGAAAGAGACGGGGAGAGAAAGACGGAAAGAGACGGGGAGAGAAAGACGGAAAGAGACGGGGAGAGAAAGACGGAAAGAGACGGGGAGAGAAAGACGGAAAGAGACGGGGAGAGAAAGACGGAAAGAGACGGGGAGAGAAAGACGGAAAGAGACGGGGAGAGAAAGACGGAAAGAGACGGGGAGAGAAAGACGGAAAGAGACGGGGAGAGAAAGATGTAGAGATACACTTGATGTCATATGCCACATTGTTCCACCGTATAGACCAGCGTTGTGGTGAAACAAATTTCCCGCCTTATCGGATCAGCGTCACGCCGGAGGAAGTGTTAATGCCTCAGTCAAGGGTCGGGAAGTGACAGTCTTAAACCTTTAGTGGTCGCTGTTATAATAGGTGACAGGTGGTGGCGTGGTGGTGGTCCCGGGGTGCTCACGTCACAGTACGTGACAGTAACTGGTAACGTGACAGTAACAGGAATAACCCGTCATGCACAATAAAGCAACGTATTGTTTAATATTATCTCCCGGGTAAAAGCTTCCATCATACTCCAAAATAATTAAAAGGGAGACAACTGTGCGCACCGTTGTACAGTGTTCCCCCTCCTCCCTAATGCTTGGTCCTGGTCTCTCTCTCTCTCTCTCTCTCTCTCTCTCTCTCTCTCTCTCTCTCTCTCTCTCTCTCTCTCTCTCTCTCTCTCTCCCTTTGTCACTCTCTCTCTCCCCCCCGCCCCCTTTTCCCCTCTCTCGCTCTCACACACACAAAAGCAACTCGTAAACAAACTAGAAAAACAGGCTGGTGGATCGGGAAGAATACTAAAGTGGGTGAAGGAGTACCTTTCAGGAAGGAGGCAAAGAGTCAGAGTGAGAGGAGAGCTATCAGAAAAGAGGTTTAACAAGTGGAGTGCCTCAAGGGTGGGTACTAGGGCCCATCCTGTTCCTAATATATTTGTGCATGATCTGAGGAAGTAAGCTAATGAAACGAATCGGAACTGAAGAGGACTGCATTACAAGATAAACTAGGCAGTCTCCAGAGACGGCCTGAGAGATGGCTACTAAACTTTAACCTAGACAAATGCAAGTTCATGAGGAAAAGAGATGGAGCAAGAAGATCTCAAATACGGTACAGGATGAAGGGAAGGCAACTTCCAGCGTCTGAAAAAGATAAAGACTTGGGAGTGGATATAACTTTAGCTCTAACACCAGAGGCGCACATCAGCAGGATAACGAGGGCACTATATGCCATACTGGCAACCGTCCGGTTATCTTTCAGCAACTTGGGCAAAGATATCTGTGTCCAAGTTTCTTTATGTCATATTCTTTGTGAGACTCATTATTGAGTATGCTGCCCCAGCATGGAACCCTTACCCGAAACAAACACTAGAAGAGGTCCAACAAAATATACAACAAATCGCGTTCCTGAGCTAAGAGGACCGAGCTAAGAGGAAGACTGAAGGAATTGGTTATCACTACAATGAAGGAAAAAAAAGAATAGGGCAGACATGATAACGACGTACAAGATACTAAGGTGAGGATTGACAAAGTAGAAATAGAATAAATGTTGAAATTAAGGAACAGAAGAATGAGTAGACATATTGGAAACTCGAAACACAGATGAATCACAGATGTCAGAAAAATCTTTTCATTCTAAGAGTCGAAAATAAATGGAAAGAGGAAGGGAATAGAGGAACTTGAAACCAATTTAATATTCACTTATAAAGGTAAATATGATAATAAAAACAAAGGAAGAGTCGAATCACTGGATTGAACTAATGATGGTCGAATGGCGGGACTTAAGAGCAGATGCTAGACCCAGCAAACACAACTAGGTGAGTACACATTCAGTCATCAGCCGTCTTAGTCCAAAGGGCCCGGGTTCGATTCCCGACCAAGGCAGAAAAAATGGGCAGATTTTCTTTCAACTGATGGTCCTGCTCACCTTGCAGTTAATTGGTACCTGGGAGATAGACGGCTGCTACGGGCTGCATCCTGGGAATGTGTGTGTGTTGAAGAGAAATATATGCAGGAAAACCTAAATAATAAATACACACACACAGGGGACTCCGGGATGAGTGGACAGCGCTCGGGGATCGTAGTCCTAATGGCCCGGGTTCAATCCCCGGTGGAGGCGAAAATAAATGGGCAAAGTTTCTTACACCCTGATGCGTCTGTTCACCTAGCAGTAAATAGGTACCTGGGAGCTAGACAGCTGCTACGGGCTGCTTCCTGGAGATGTGTGCGTGTGTTAGAGAGAAATATATGTAATAGAAATAATAGAGGAAAAATACATTAGCTAGGAAGGCGGGGTTCAAGAGCTAATAGATAGATTTTGCATATACAAATAGTAAATACACACGCGCCTACCTATGGCCTACCAGGAGTCGACAAGTAAATCCTCTGCGAACTTTAGTGACCTTAACGAAGAAATGGGCACAAACGATTCAGCCATTGATCGTCCCCTGGGTTAGTTCATGCACCAGTTTACCTTCGACCCAAATGGAGTCTGATACTATATATAATATCACCCAATTTTCACTGATAACGAAGACAAACAGATGCAGGCGATGAGTCACAATAACGTGGCTGAAGTATGTTGACCAGACCACACACTAGAAGGTGAAGGGACGACGACGTTTCGGTCCGTCCTGGAATCGACTTGCGAATGGTCCAGGACGGACCGAAACGTCGTCGTCCCTTCACCTTCTAGTGTGTGGTCTGGTCAAGAAGACGAACAGACACTGGTATCCGATTCATTGAGTCATCCATAATATATCTTATATAATCCATCGCTAGAAAGGTGGAAATAAAATGTAAATAAGGGGAAAAAACGCGATTCTAGTTGCTCATTAGCGTGCGCATTGAGAAGCAAAATCAAATATGATACCCTGAAAGAAACCCCCGGATGGCTTCATCATATTGGCTGAAATGAACCAATTCCGGCCTCTAATTATTTCTCAAGTGTGCAAGCAAAATTCTATCCGCCAAACTCAACAGTCAATGGAGGAGCAGGAGGTGCATGTCTAAGCGAAATTTAATTGTTTGTGATGAGCGATCTGTCAGAGCCAGTACAGCATTGTGGGGCTCTGGTTAGTGCATCACCCTTCAGGAATGGCAAGCACAGGGTTGGAAGGCGCTAGGGTTACTCCATCACCCATCAAGCTGAGCAAGTACAGGGTTGGAAGGCGCTGGGATTTCTCCATCACCCATCAAGCTGAGCAAGCACAGGGTTGGAAGGCGCTGGGATTACTCCATCACCCATCAAACTGAGCAAGTACAGGGATGGAAGGTGCTGAGATTACTCCATCACCCATCAAGCTGAGCAAGTACAGGGTTGGAAGGTGCTGAGATTACTCCATCACCCATCAAGCTGAGCAAGTACAGGGTTGGAAGGCGCTGGGATTACTCCATCACCCATCAAACTGAGCAAGTACAGGGTTGGAAGGCGCTGGGGTTACTCCATCACCTACAACACAATCCTCCTCCCTTAAACGCAGCTTTAGTATCGAGTTAGCAGTCCGCCCGGCTATTGGACTGAGCGGCAATCAAAGCCTGCGACCACCGGACGTTGGAGATTTAGCGCGCGGGGCGCTCCACATACCGGCATTATTGTGACAATTTGCTGGCTCGTTGCCCCTGACCAAGTGCTCTCATTTTTACGCACAGATTTTGGCTTCATCTATAACAGACCCCATCCCGCTCGCCTCACTATTCTTGCTAGCACAAAAATATATAAAATAAATGGTACAATTATCTGCGAAATTTACGAATAATGCAAGGTAATTTTTTTTGTACGTTTATTTATACACGTTAAATATTACTAACATTATTATTAGTGAGATAATTAGTAGGAGTCATAAGGAGGATTCGAACCAATGCTCTGGGAATCAGTGCAACAGAATCCTCCTCCTGTTGTCCGAATCATCCTCTGTTGATTCAAATGAAGTTCGAATCCTTCTCACGGCTGGTACTGATTTTATCACTGATGCACGTTGCTGGGATTCCTTTGTGGAATATTAGTAGAAAATTATTTCATTACGTCATTGTATAATTATTTTTATACTGTTTTTAAATCATGAACATCAGCACCACTTGCATGCTATATCAACAATTTATTATTTTTAACTTTTATTATTATTTATGTGAATATTTACAGAAAGATAATTCCCGTTGCTGTTTTTTTGCAGGATAATATTTTGAGAGGCTGAGACAGCTGAAACCCCTGCGGTCATGACGGGTCCTTGTCCACTGTCTCTTTATTCAGTGACAGGTGTCAAGGCTGAGTCTGCACCTGTCTGTCTAAGCTGCCTCGTGACTGCTATTTTACTGTCCTTTTTTGTGTTTGTTTTTGCTCGTTCAACTCTGGGGTGTGTTTGTGAAGCTATTGTCTCTGTCAATGTCTTCTCGCAAGGAAATCTGGAGCTGTGGAAATATTTGTTTAAATCCAAAAATCAACATGAAAAGTTACGGGAGGTGAAGCTGAATACACACCCGTGTCTATCATGCTACATGATAGACACACCCGTGTCTATCATGCTACATGATACATACTCTGGTCGTGTTGACCTATCCCACCCACACCCGTGTCTATCATGCAACATGATAGATACTCTGGTCGTGTTGACCTATCCCACCCACTTAACCTAACTTAACCTAACATAACCTAGAAGTATTCCCTCTATCTTGAGGTTATCTTGAGATGATTTCGGGGCTTTTTTTTTTTTTAGTGTCCCCACGGCCCGGTCCTCGACCAGGCCTCCATCCCCAGGAAGCAGCCCGTGACAGCTGACTAACTCCCAGGTACCTATTTACTGCTAGGTAACACGGGCATTCAGGGTGAAAGAAACTTTGCCCATTGGTTTCTGCCTCGTGCGGGAATCGAACCCGCGCCACAGAATTACGAATCCTGCGCGCTATCCACCAGGCTACGAGGCCCCCACAATAATCTACACAATAGCCTCTACACAATATGGTTCAAATGTACGTCAAGGGGGTGGACCACCTTAGTTACGAGGACCACAGCGCAAGCCCACTTAATTGGGCTTGCGGGGGTTGAGCTTCAGCTCTTTCGTCCCACCTCTCAACCGTGAATCCACTGGTGTACAGATTCCTGAGCCGACTGGGCTTTATCCTACCTACATATGAAACTGTGTATGGAGTCTGCCTCAACCACATCACTACCTAGTGTATTCCATGTGTTAACTACTCTAACACTAAAAAAAATCTTTCTAATGTCTCTGTGGCTCATTTGGGTACTCAGCTTCCACCTGTGTCCCCTTGTACGTGCGCTTCCTGCGTTAAATAATATGTCTTTATTTACCCTGACCCTTGATACCTGACCAACCAGGCTGTGATTCATACGTCAGGCTGCGAGCAGTCGCCTCCAACAGCCTGGTTGACCAGTCCAGCAAGAAGGAAGCCTGGTCGAGGACCGGGCCTCGGGGTCGTTGATCCCCGAAATCATGGCAAGGTAAGGTAAGGTAACCCTATCAATTCCTCCGAGAAACTTATGTGGTGATCATGTCTCCCCTAGCTCTTCTGTCTTCCAGCGACGTGAGGTTTAGTTCCCGTAGTCTTCCCTCGTAGCTCATACCCCTAAGCTCGGGTACTAGATTTGGAGGCATACCTTTGACCCTTCTTCAATTTATTGTGCTTGACTTCATACGGACTTCACGCTGGCGCTGCATACTCCAGTATTGGTCTGACATATGTTGTATACAAAGGTCTAAATGATTCATTACACAACTTTTTAAAGGCAGTTCATAAGAATTGATTAGTGAGTTGGCCAGCCAGGCATATGCCGCTGATAACCTCCTGTTGATGTGGGGTTCAGGGGACAGGTTTGGTGTAACACCGTAAAGGTGTTTGGTTTAGTTTTATTTAATACATACATGGAGATACAAGAGTCACAGATAAGGATTTGAGAGGCGTCAGTTTGGTCGGCCTGAGTCTCACACCTCTAAGCGTTAATGACCTCAAGTGACCTGAGGTCAGATCATGCGAATTTCACCTTGCTTCCGTTAATCTGATAATTGGCCTTCAAACATGCCGACGTTTAAGGAGTGGCTTGGTAGAGTGCCTGAGGCTATCTACTTGTGGGCGGAGTTAGTTACTAGGTTCCCCAATATATACTCGGAGAGCAGAGCATAGAGGAGAGGAAGCAATAGGAGCCATCCAGCAGAGCAGAAGAGAAGACGGCCTAGCCAGGGAGGCTGTCAGCCGGCAGGGCGGGACAGTCTCTGTCAACTACAGACTCCCCCCCCCCCCTGTCTATCCAGCTATAGGCAGACACTTGGTGAGTTGAACATTAAGGTGACTTGGTCGTGTTTACAAGGGTTGTGTGAGGATCAGGGGCAGTCAAGTTCTAGGGTTCTCGAATTCTTGGATGATGACTCACTTTGCATATTAAACTTGAACAGTTGAATTGCTTAAATTATGATACTTATGTGAAATATAATTTTTGAATTTATTATTTAAATTGTCTTTAACTTTGTTCCCTAGAGTTTTGAGTTGAGGTGAGAAAGCCTCTGCGGTTGATGGGTTCATGATTTTAATGAGTACATAATACAGATGGAACAGACTAATAATGACCTCGTGTTAACACTGAGAATTTTGTGATACAGACAAGTTCCATTCCTTGTCCTGTATGTAACGGTCTTGAATGGATGGTGGCAGCATTTCTTCTTCTTCTATCTACTCTTCTACTTCTACTATCTACTGTTATTCTTCTACTTATCTACCCTTCTACTTCTCCTACTCACTTCCTACTTACTCGTCATACGATTCCCCCACCTCCCCGTTACAATGGTGGCAGCGGTGGGAGGCCGGGAGTCCTGAAGATATATACAAATCCTACATCCCCCGAAGTGGCCAGGGGAAGGAAAAAAGGAAAAAAGAGACTCACCTTGCCTGACTTCACCCATTCCACCCACCAAACCCAGGATAAGGTTGAAATATGACCCCGTTAGGGTACGTCAGGGGTTTCCCTACGTAATATTTGTAAGATTGTTGCTGAGAACTGGTTGTACCGCACACTCAGACGAGAGTGACTCACGCTACTACAGCCACGTCTGGAACTCGTATCATCTTGCACCTGGTGTGACCTGATCTTGCGCTACCTCTGCCTGGAGATACATCAGTCATACTGGACTCTCCACCAAGTTAGGTGAGAAGGTGGTGGAGGCCAAGACCGTCAGTAGTTTAAAAACGTTATATGACAAAGAGTGCTGGGAAGACGGGACATCACGAGCGTAGCTCTCATCTTGTTACTACACTTAGGTAATAACTTAAGAAGCCCGTAAGAAGCCGGGGGACAGGAGTTAACAAGCACGTATACATCAGGTTACGAACCTGTACATCTCTTCTCAATCATTGGCGGCTTTGTTCACATTTACTAAACAGTTAATGAGCTTGGAAACTTCCCAATCATATGTTGTTATTGTTGTTATTATGCTCCGCAGCACCAGGAGGCTGTTTATAAGTCTCCTGGTGCTGCGGAGTTCATATGTTTTAACACATTGTAATCAAGCTGTGAAAGATTGAGAAAAGGTGGACAGGTTCGAGCCGCTGGAACAGTGATCCTCAGAGTTGCCTAAAGGTAACCTCACCACACTGGCATAGTAGGTGGAGGAGCATCTGTGTATCATCACACACTGAGTGGAGGAGCACATGTGTATCATCACACAGTAGGTGGAGGACCACCTGTGTATCATCACACAGTGGGTGGAGGACCACCTGTGTATCATCACACAGTGGGTGGAGGAGCACCTGTGTATCATCACACAGTGGGTGGAGGAGCACCTGTGTATCATCACACAGTGGGTGGAGGAACACCTGTGTATCATCACACAGTGGGTGGAGGAACTCATCAACATCACACGCCACCTGACCCCCCCCCCCCCAATAATCAATCAGCTCTAACGAGATCAACCTTTTGAAATGCATGTAGCACAACCCGGTCAGTTTTGTATCATTTCCTTTGACCAAATTTAGGTTATTAAACGCTAAACTGTTTATCTAATTAACAAACTCAAATAACGTGATAAGACTGAATGCGAAAAACAGAGTGACATATGACGGAACGATGACCCCCTCTCCATCTCAATAACTACACTACTGCTACTGACACATTACCACCAAACACCAGCCTCCATCTTTGTAACTACCGCTAGTGACACGTGTCCATCACACAACCACCTCCGTCTCCCTAATTACCAGAGCCGGCGCGAGTGCCTTGACGGACAGAGACAGTGACAAACGCGACCCCGCGGGCCGAGTGACAGTCAGGCCGTCCTCTCCGGCCCCCCGTCACTTAACGGCTGTCATCAGCGGCTGTCAACCACGCTGTTACACACAAGCCCACCTGATCAACCACGACTTAATATATTTTGGGTGATGGGTGTGCTGGAGGCTGTCCAAGGCCGCAGGGAGTGGGACGTATGGTAATCTCCACTCCATCAACCCTCTTCCCTCCCCCCCCTCCTCCTCCTCCTCCATCAACCCTCTTCCCCCCTCCTTCGTCAACCCTCTTCCCCAATCAACTCTTCCCGACCTCCCCACGCCCCCTACCCCACAGCAAGCTGTCATAATATTATCAGAGAGTCGAGCGGACGTTTATCCTTGGTGGTGGAGTGATGGCTGCCGGAGAGAACCAACTCTGTAAAGCCGGATATGTGGCGGGCTCACGAGTGACGGGGGACAGGTGTGGCAGGTCCTGGGTGTGACGGGAGTCAGGTGTGACGGGAGTCAGGTGTGACGGGAGTCAAAGCTTACCTATCAGTGACTACGGGAGAGTTCTAGCTCTTTATTCCCCGCCTTGTAAACGGGTTGTTGACTTATTAACTCCCTTGACGTTAAATTTTTGTTTTGTTTTAAATTTTGCCTTAAACTCATGACTGGAGGTGGCTGCCATTGCCACAGGAGTACGAGTATTTCCTTACACTTCAACTGATCTGCCGTTCCAGCTTCCACTTGAGTCCTTTCCTCCCACAATCTCTCAATCTCTCAGAGGTGCCATAGGCACAATCAGAGAACACTGTATAAACATCAGAGGTCCGCGGTTGTTCAACGTCCTCCCAGCAAACATAAGAAATATTGCCGGAACAACCGTGGACATTTTCAAGAGGAAACTAGATTTATTCCTCCAAGGAGTACCGGACCAACCGGGCTGTGGTGGGTATGTGGGCCTGCGGGCCGCTCCAAGCAACAGCCTGGTGGACCAAACTCTCACAAGTCGAGCCTGGCCTCGGGCCGGGCTTGGGGAGTAGAAGAACTCCCAGAACCCCATCAACCAGGTATCAACCAGGTATCAATTATAAGTCCTTCTACACCTTTCCTGTTCCCCCTCAGTAACTTGCTGTAAGGATACGGTATATGAAAGCACTAACAAAATGGTACATGAAAGCATTTTTTCTAATATCATTAGACTTGTCGGATGCAAATGTTTGATCAAATGTTGTTAGATATTTTTGAAAGTGCTGGCATGACAACAGCTAGTGCGCATGCGTAGAGACATTTGCAGAGGTTGGTGTTCCTGCAAAAAAATTGGGATAAACAATGAACTGGACATTCGAGAAACTTTCCCCATGTACATTCCGTAGTTTAAAGTAAAAAATGGGAAATAGTATTATATGGTGAAATCCAATACAGGAGCTATTAAACTAATATTAGCAGGCAGAAGTGATTGTTATAATTTGTCACAATATTGGAACGGCGAGCGGGAAACATCAGGCCGCCAACACACACAGTATGCGAGGGCGGGAGAGACAGGACACTATTTTGCTCTCACGACTAACGATCACATTCACTCCAAAAAAATCTACCACTTACGGGCTATTCATGCCCGTGCCACGTCTTGAGAGGCTTAATCTTCGTCAATCTATCGACACTATTTTGCTTGCATGCTGGGGACATATACAGCTTATCACTCTACCCGTTGGAGTGTAAGCCTATATCTATTGTATCCATAAGTATTACATGTTTTGATTTCAGACGAGGAGTCACAATAACGTGGCTGAAATATGTTGACCAATCCACACACTACAAAGTGAAGGGACGACGACGTTTCGGTTCGTCCTGGACCATTCTCAAGTCGATTGTGTCACGTCACAATCCCCCCCCCTAATAGTCCACAAAATCCCCTATAGAAAGGTAATAGCCCCCCTTCTCAACACAACAATAGCCCCCCTTCTCAACAACACAACACCTTATAGTGGATAGCAACGCCGTATTTACGAAAGCTATAATTCTTCTCGCTCAAATATAGAAAACGAAAAAAAAAATGTAACACAACGCTGGAGCTCCGCATGGTAACACAGCACACCGCTGGAGCATTGTTCCCGATCTCGTATATGACCTCTATCACCTTTGAGACTCTTCTCTCTGAATCTTAACGCTAAGCAACACAAAAGCATCTGTCACATTGCCCTATCGTGCTGGGCGGGGAAGGACAGTGCTTGTAATATCCAACGACCAGGGAAGGACCTGGAAGATGGTAGGGGCACGCGCAGACCAGACCCCTAACACTCCAGGGGGGGGGGGCAGGAGGGAGTACAGATTCATCAACTATAAGAGAGGGGGCAAAAGAGCGACCTCCCCTCCCACGCACACTATGGGCGAGGACTAGGACGCTAGGGGAGAGGGGGACCTCTGGAGGTAGGGGGACCTCTGGAGGTAGGGGACCTCTGGAGGTGGGGGAGTTTGTTCTTCACTCACAAGGCTGAGAGTGAACAAAGAATGAGAGACGGGGCAGGGAGCTCCTCACACACAGGTCTCGAGGTGCCAGCACTTAAAGCTTCACAACACAAGGAGTCAGGGAGGCACAAAGCAAGACGAGATGAAAGTGATGGATGGTGAGGAGGAGGAGGAGGAGCCGAGCGAGGGCCCACGCTCCTCCACACGACGACAAACGCCAGTAACCATGTAATGTGTCCCTTATCTTACTGTGCGGTGAAGGACGTGCACAAGACACAGCAGGGCACCTCTCCCTGTATCTATAACGAACTCATTCTCGACCTACACCGGCCATGGAGACAAAATATGACAGTAGAGTCACGGAGTGCATCGTTAATTTTTCTTCCTATCACCTAATGATTCAAATACAATCTAAACAAAAAATATATACATTATTTTGAACTGGAGAGAGAACGAAAGGGAGGGCGATAGGTAGAGGGAAATTGGGGGGATGGAGAGAGGCGAAGGGAATGGGTGGGGGAGAGAGACCCGGGCACCGCCTAGTATATATATATATATATATATATATATATATATATATATATATATATATATATATATATATATATATATATATATATATATATATTATATACATATATATATATATTTATATATATACATATAAGATGAAATAATAAAACAAAACTTTTTTCTTCGCATCAAAACATTCAGTATATCCTAGCTTGCTGCCAGCGTATCTAAGATACAGCTGACAAGCACATTCAATAAGGAGGAACAAGAGAGCGTAGCTTACTACGGCCCCACGTCTCCACAAGGCTGGCTAGCCCCAGCCCCACGTCTCCACAAGGCAGGCTAGCCCCAGCCCCACGTCTCCACAAGGCAGGCTAGCCCCAGCCCCACGTCTCCACAAGGCAGGCTAGCCCCAGCCCCACGTCTCCACAAGGCAGGCTAGCCCCAGCCCCACGTCTCCACAAGGCAGGCTAGCCCCAGCCCCACGTCTCCACAAGGCAGGCTAACCCCAGCCCCACGTCTCCACAAGGCAGGCTAGCCCCAGCCCCACGTCTCCACAAGGCAGGCTAGCCCCAGCCCCACGTCTCCACAAGGCAGGCTAGCCCCAGCCCCACGTCTCCACAAGGCAGGCTAGCCCCAGCCCCACGTCTCCACAAGGCAGGCTAGCCCCAGCCCCACGTCTCCACAAGGCAGGCTAGCCCCAGCCCCACGTCTCCACAAGGCAGGCTAGCCCCAGCCCCACGTCTCCACAAGGCAGGCTAGCCCCAGCCCCACGTCTCCACAAGGCAGGCTAGCCCCAGCCCCACGTCTCCACAAGGCAGGCTAGCCCCAGCCCCACGTCTCCACAAGGCAGGCTAGCCCCAGCCCCACGTCACCACAAGGCAGGCTAGCCCCAGCCCCACGTCTCCACAAGGCATGCTAGCCCCAGCCCCACGTCT